ATGCTGATCCGTATTTTTGATACACTTTTTAATTCGATAAAACTTCTGCAGGACTTAATTATATTTTTGTAACTGGAAGGACAATATCCTGATGTTTTCAAATAATATATTATAAACAAGCAGTGCTTGTCTTGCTTAATGCTCTACAAGAAACTAAAGGATGAAAATATTATTAAAAGTAATTGGTATCCTTATTTTTTATATGTAAACTTCGTTGAAGAAGTGGGTCTCTAACTCAAATGTGTATCTAAGTATTATTGCTTTATACTGGGAGAATTTGTCTTTTATTGTACATAATTGGACTAATATAAACTGTGTATTTATAGTCAGAATTTATCCCTATGGTATGTCTGTCTTGGAAGAATGTCAGCATATACTGACATATGCAGTATTGGAAGGCAGTAATTACTGTGTGACTGTAATCCTGTAAAATGTCCTATTCTAAGGAGGAATTATGTTTTTCTGTAAATGGTTCTATGTGTTCAGGATCCTGTAGAGTAAGACAGTGAAGCCAGCTGAGTGCCAGATTGTACATTTCTGCAAAATGTTAATCTAACAACTGGGAAGACCAACCTACGTAAGTTAAAGGATAATTAAATATATTTTTACAAGAGAGGTAAATAGTTGTACAGTTTTACTTGACTGGAAGTGGATGGCTTAGAACATTTTTATTTGTAAATATTTTCTACTTCTTCAGTAGAAGTTGGAGTAAGTTCTCACCTTGTTGGCATAAAAGATGTTTTTTCATTTGCTTTGCTGTTCATGTACTGGAAATGAGGTGGCTTAATTTAATGTAAGTAAATAAAGAAAATGGCTTCTGGTAATAAATCAGTTGTGCAATAATGCATCCTGTCAAGGAGTTGTAATTGAATATCGACACCAAATGATGGTATTCTGTAAAGCAGTTATATGAGAAGAGGGAGAAAAATCCTTTGAGTAGCCTTTAGTTCCATTCAGTTAGGCAGAACCAGATTTTGATACCTTCACTCTTCCAAGCTTTTTCTTTGGCAAAAGTATATATTCTATACATGCACATAATTTATAGGATTTTCATATCTAAAAAAACTTGTTTGCAATAAACTTTATTCAGAGGAATGAGTATATTGGTACTGTGTTTATTCTTTCACTTACTGGGAACACTATGGACTATTTATCCATTCTGTGTCCAGGCCTCGGGCCCTCAGCACGGAAAGAATGTGGAGCTGTTGGAGCAGGTCCAGAGGAGGGCCACAGAGATGATGAGAGGAGCACCTCTCCTGTGAAGAAAGGTTGAGGGAACTGAGATTCTTTAGCCTGGAGAAGGCTCCAGGGAGACCTCATTTCTGCCTTTCAATATTTGAAGGGAGTGTATAGGCAGGAGGGAGAGAGACTTTTTATGCAGTTTAATACTGATAGGACAAGGGGAGATGACTTTAAGCTTAGGGGAAATTTAGGTTAGATGTTAGGAAAATATTCTTTACTCAGAGGGAAGTGAGGCACTGGCAGAGGCTGCCGAGAGGTTGTAGATGCCCCATCCCTGGAGGCCCTCAAGGCCAGGCTGGATAGGGCCCTGGGCAGCCTGATCTGATCAGTGGCAGCCTTGCTCGTGGTGGGGAATTGGAGCTGAATGATCTTAAAAATCCCTTCCAACCTAAGCTATTCTATGATTTTATTATTGTTGGCAGAGTGCTGCTGGTTCCAGTTGCAGAGGTTTACAAGGGTAAACCATTGGTCCATCACACCATTGTAGGCAAGGTGGCTGGAAGGCGGCAGGCCCTGCATCACACACACCGGGATGTGATGCTGCTCAGATGCACATCTTTGCCTGATGTGGTGATGTGGTGCTGGCTTGTAGCACTCTGCAGCTGATGAGCTTGTCAGTTACCAACTGCCTTTAGTCTCCTGCCATTCGATGAGTCTCTGGCATATTCTTTTCCAACAGCAGTATTATTTTTACAGGAGACACTTTAATGCCTTAGAGAGCCATACGCCTGTAGCTCACCTTTAGGAGATGATACTCCATGTGGAGCCAAGAATGGTGTTTAATGAGTAGTTTTAAAAGGCAGTGAGATCCACTTCAGCCAGAATTAGACCATGCTGGAGACTGCCTGCCACGTGCAGCATGATGATGTGTGAGACTCACTGCTGACTGTGAACATTAATTACTACAGCCAGCCCGTGTGGTACCCAAGCTCAGTGACTCCATCCCTCAGCCTGGTTTCGTAAGGAAACACAGTTTCTGGGCTACCGTTGTGTTTATGTCTTTATCTTGCAACTCCCTTTGCATCACTCAGATTGCCAGAAGACCCGTGAACTTAGCAACAAATCCGTGACACTGGAAGGAAGGGTCAGAAGGCCCCTGGTTTCATCATAGCAGTGCTCAGACTGGGAGGGAGTTCAGGTCTCTGGCTCAGTCTCCTGCTCACAGAAGCTCAGCTTTGAGGTCAAACCAGGCTGTTCAGGGCAACGTCCGGCTGGGGCCTGAAACCTCCATGGATGGAGACTGCACTGCCTTTCTGGGCAGCCTCAGCCAGTGTGTCCATGTGGGGAAAAAGCTTCTTATATCTGGTTCAAACATCTCATTCAGTTTATGCTTGTTGTCTCCCATCTGCCTGTCCTGCACTACTGTGAAGAGCCTATGGAAGTGCCCTTCCTCCAGAGAAAAGTTGTCTCTGCTCCAGGCTGAACTACCCACATCCTCCAGCCTCTCCTCACAGGGCAGGAGCTCCGGCCCCACCATCCCAGTGGTCTCACTTGAATTTGATCCAAATAATTGATGTCTTGCACTGGGGAGCCCAAAAGTAGCTGCAGCATCCAGATGCAGCCAGCAAGTGCAGAGTTGAGGGGATGACCACTTCCCTCAGCCTCTCATCACACTGCTGTTGGCTATTACTGCTGTGAGGACTGGCTGCTGGCCCGTGTTCCACTCACTGCCCACTGGGGCCCCAGGGCCTTTCCCTCAGAGCTGTTTCTGGTCAGTCACTCCCAGTCTGTACCAGCACAAGCATACCTCCATCACAGTCAAGGCACCAGGAGGCTCTCTGGACCTCTCCTCACCCTGCCCACAGACCAGGATCCCATTTGAGCCCACCCAGGGCCATTAGTCCCTGAAACAGGGATACTGTAGGATGTCGATTTCCAGTTCCCCACTGCCCTGCTCTGCCTGGCCATGTGCCTGGCCAAGTCAGGCCCCATTTGCAGGCTGATGGGGCCTCGCCTTGGCCCAGCCCTGTTTCCATGGCCCTGCAGCTGTCCCAAGGCTGGGTCTGACTCCAGTTCACCTCATCAGGCCTGATCTTGATCTACAGATTGATGTCCCTACAAGGAGCCTGACCTAGTTACCAGGCCTGATGCAGGGACTGAGCACCAGGGAGGGATGCCATGCCGTTGCCGTCATCCCCAGGGAGCTCTTGCCTCTTCCTGACACCCAGGTGCAGGACTCTGTTGGATGTTCCAGCTGGTACCACCATCCCTTGGGATGGCAGCCCTGTCCCTGAACATGCTAACTGGTCCTAGGGTTTGGTGTCATCTGCAGACTCACTGACAGAGCATGCCATCATCCCATCCTCAGCCAAGTCCCTGTGGGACTGCTTGTTACCAGCCCCCAGGTAGAGATGACTCATCAACCACAGCATCATAGACCAAACAGGTATCTGGACAAATTTTTAACCATCCAGACCATAACATCCTAGCTTGGATACAAGACCATTATGTTAGCTAGTAAAGTCTTTGCTAAGCTGAGGACCTCAAGTTGCACCACGGAAGCTTCAGGTTAAATATGAGGAAAAAATTCTTCTCAAAAAGAGTGGTGAAGCACTGGCACAGGTTGCCCAGGGAGGTGGTGGAGTCGAGGTGCTCAAGAAATGTGGAGACGAGGCACTGAGGGATATGGTTAGTGGGCATGAGGGGATGGGTTGGATACGTGATCTTAGTGGTCTTTCCAACCTTACTGATTCCATGAAATTCAAGGTAAATGGCATGTGCTCCTCTGTGCTTCCCCTCAGCCCCAGCCCTTCCATTGCAGAGGTGGTTGAGTCAGACAGGCATGGTCAGCACACACCGACTGCTCCCAACCACCACCTCTGCCCAGAAATGTGGTGGAGAGGAAAAGGAAAGCAGCAAACAGGGAGGGACTGGTTGGCCAATAGGCAAATAATTCTAAATGAACACTATGCGTGTTTTCTCTTGCCCACTGGGATCGTCATATTTGGTATTCTGCTGGAGATCTGCGGTTACCTGGGGTGAGAGAGCTTGGGAGACCATAGACAAAAGCAAGGAGGAAACCAGACTCAATAACTCCACTTCCAAAGAACCTGTTTGTCATGGTCTGTATGCATGGAGACTTGAGGTTCATGATATTCAAAAACAAGCAGCATTCATTCACGGTCTCATTGTTTTGCATCCGAAAAATCCAGTCTGGCACAGAAGCTTCATTTATCTTCCTTACAGTCTTATGAGCCCCACATCCACTGGCACCTTCATTTCCTCACAGAATCGTAGAACGGTTTGGGTTGGAAGGAACCTTTAAGATCATCCAGTTCCAATCCCTGCTACGGGCAGGGACACCTCCCTGTAGACCAGCTTGCTCGCTTCTGGTAAAAACACACAACTTTAGGAGACAAACCATCAGGGGCGTTTCCCGTTTCCATCGTGGCAAACTTACAACATTGCTTTGTTTTATGAAACTTAATTTCCAGACAACATTGCCACTTCCCCTTCCAGCGCTGACGGGACCAACGCACGCAGAGGGCAGGAGCCCAGGGCACGCTGCGGCTCTGCCCTGCGGCTGACTTACAGGGAACGGCGGTAACGCGTTGCCGGGGGAAAGCAGGCAGCTACTTCTTCGGGGAGCCCCGGCTGGGGGCGGGCTGCGCTGCCACTCAGCCGAGGGCCTCGCCCGGCCCCGGCCCCCTCGGGCCGCCCCGCAGGGCGGGGGGAGCGGGCGGCGGTCTCCCGCGGGGAGCGGGCGCGGGGCCCGCCCGGCCGCGCAGGCCCGGAGGAGGCCGCGGCCCCGGCCCCGCTCCAGCGCGGCGCGGCCATGGGCAGCCGGGGCTGCGCGCTGCTGCTGCTGGGCGCCGCTCTGTCGCTGCTGGGCTCGGCCGCCGTCAGTCCCGAGCGGAGCCTGGCGTGGGGCCCCGGGCTGGAAGCGGGGCTCGCACTGCCCGTGCGCTACTTCTACATCCAGGCGGTCAGCGCGACCGGACGCAACTTCACCCGCTCTCCCCCAGGTACCGTGCGTGTGCTCGGGGCTGCGCTGCGGGCTGCGCGCCCTGCCCGGGGCGGCGGATCCGCGAGGAAGCGGTCGGAGCCGCCCGCGTCCCGTCCCGTCCCGTCCCGTCCCGTCCCGTCCCGTCCCCTCCCCGCCTCGCTGTGCCGCCCGGCCGGCACCCGCGGCGCTGCTCCTCGCGCGGCTCGCGGCAGCGCTGGAGCCCGGCGCGGGAATCCCGGCGCCCCGTGCACAAGTGCTGAAGCATCCTCCTCGCCCCTGCACACGCTAAGCTCGCTTTCTGCTCCAGCAAGCACGGCTCTCCGCTGTTCCACCGCTGCTCCGTTAGCAAGGAGTTAGCATTCCCGTCTCCCATTCGCTCAGCCCGGCACTGAGCGGGGTGGGAGTTTCGCTGGCCGAATGCTTGCTGCCTTCAGGCTAAGCTTCTCCTGAGGGCTGTCATTTAGGGTAAAAGTACTTCTGCATCTCGTGTTCTGTAGTAAAGATGCCTGAGATGATGACCAAGCAGAGGGTCGAGGCGCTAATCTGTACAGGGCAGAGCTAATTGACATTCGTGGCCTCTCGAAGCCATGCAGGAGCCTATTTCCTGCTCTTGGTACCAGTGTCAGAACGCTGCTTGGGAGGTCAAGGAATAGGCCAAGTAATTGAAAACAGCCAGCATTTACCTGAAGTTTTCTCACATGGTTGATGGTAGCACACAGCGCAAGGGCTGTGCCTGCAGCCCAGCAGCAGCCCAGGCCCCCGGCTCCGGCCCCTGTAGCAGCACGGTGCTGGGCTGCAGTGCGGCTCTGTAGCAGCGCCCCAGGACCTGAGCTCACTGACTGCCAGACCAGGGCTGGTCTCAGCCGTGCAGGACTCGAGCAGCAGTTCCTAAAGGTAAAAGGTGTGCAGCTCTGCTTGCTCTCCCATGCAAGCATGAGTGCTGCAAGAGAAGCGGCGTTGAGAACCTTGTTTTGCCCTCTGTAGCCTGTGTTTATACTAAGGCTGTAGGGCCGGGTGCCATCTGGCACAGGGTGCCTTCCACACACGCTGTGGGCCTGCAGCCACCAGTCCCAGTGTGTGCAGGATGGCTGTGAGGAATGGTAGTGCCAGCCCCACAGCACTGCCAAGGAGCACTGAGCACCACGGACCCATTGACACTGTGATGGTGCCAGTGGCCACATTCCAGTGCATGAGCACTGTTTAATTTACTCATGAGTTACAACTTTCAGTTCTCAAATTAATTTTAATGTTCAAGTTCTATTTCTAAAATGTCAGTCAGAATTATAATTAATAATATTTACTGATTCCTTTTCAATATGAGCAAAATACATCTCAGAATATCCCTACTGGGATAAATCTGCACTATCATCTCCATTGCACAAGCAGCAGTACTGTGACCAGAGTGCTGCAGGTAAGTCTTCCCAGTAAGAGTGCTGGGTAAGGCTTCCCATCTGTAAAACTAAGCTACTGAATTGTGTATTGTATGGGTTAGAATTTCAGTCAAGCTCAGTATGGGGGCCCAATATGACACAAAGGACAATCAGTAGATTTTAAATGTTAATATTCTTTGGAATATAAAGTCTAATCACCAGAACTAATGTGCACTGTTCCACAGAACACAATGATTTCAACTTACAGCTTGCAAACTTTATGAGCTGTCCTTTCAGGAAGTTGTCAAATGATTCAGAATTCACTCTTTCCCAGGAAAGAGTTCCAAAGATGATAATAATTAAAAAAATCACTGCTGAAATCATCATAACTTTCAATATATACTGCATGGATTCTTTTTTGGATACATGGGTCATAGAATCACAGCACGGTTTGGGTTGGAAGGGACCTTAAAGCCATCTTAGTTCCAACCACCAGCCACAGGCAGGGCTGCAGCCCACCAGGTCAGGCTGCCCAGGGCTCCATCCAACAGGCCTTGAGTACCTCCAAGGATGGGGCATACCTCCTTTGCAAGCTATACAAAAGGAATAAAACCCACATAAAGTAAGTTTCATCATCTGATTTAAGTATCCTATTTTGGTTGTGTCCACATCTTAGTTTTTTTTTCCTTAAAATGCTGTCCCAGACAGGTTTTCAGGGTAAAACGAAGGTACTGGTGGTAAGGATTCAACACGGACATGTTTTTCTTGTATCAACTCTTTCGATTGAGAAAAAGAGAAAAATGCAAGTGGAAGTACCCTGCTAACCTTCCTGCAATTAAAAAGAAAAAAATCAGCAAAAACCTGTTATAGTTCAGTAAAGCAGTGCAGTACTTAGAGGCATCAGCCCCATCATGTAATGAATACTGTAAATCAGAACCAGGAATCTTTTTGCCTCCAGTGCATAATTTCTATTAAATACTCAATCTCTTACCCCTCTCCCTTCTTTTGAGTGAGACTGGCTTTTTCCTTTCCCAGTGAGCTTTGTTATCAGGTCGCCATTCCCTTATCAAATGCTTGCTGCATCTAAACCACTAGCAGCTAAAAATAATGTGTGCTTTGGGGCAGATTTGTACTTCCTCATTGACCATCCAGTATATAATGTATTTTGTTCCATATTCCAACACAGAACAAAACCACTCACAGGTATTTCCTGTTCAGGGGATGAGGAGATCGAGCCAAGTAGTGATTTCTCATTTTTATGATGACTGCAAACTTTGTTTTCTCTGGTAGGAACACTCTATACTCAGTTAAAACGTTTTCTAAAAAGGGCAAAAAAGAGGCAAAGACACAAAATCTACAGAAAACCATTTTTTCTGTGATCCTACTTCATGGCTTGCTCTGGGTTTCAAGGGTTCTTCATCCAAGTGATACTTTGTGATAGTCATAGCGAGAGCATAACTGTATGCTAGTTTGTGGCAATAGTCATTGCATGTATTTGGTTTGCAATGATTAAACCATCAAATGTTGAAAATAAACTGTCCTCCTCCCCTTTTTTGAAGAACACAACTGACAATGATCATGAGTGGCAGAAATAGAGGGAAGTAACAGATTTATCTTTATGTGTGCTCGTGTTGTCCACAAAATGTTCCATGCCCAGTTAAAAAGTGAGGGTGCACTAATGATGAAATGCTGGTGATTTTTAAGCACAGGTCAGACAGATGTCCAAGAAACATCTCTGCTATCACCCTCTTACCCCTGCTTTTCAGTAGCTGGAACTTTAGATATGCAAGACAGTCAGCTGCAGCCCAAAGGTGAACAATTTGTATTTGATTCCTGCATGCTGCACCTATCTTCCCACAAGCTGGCAAGTATTCCTTTCTCCTATGCTCTTTTAGCTTCCTTTTCTCTCTTTATTATTCTAGAGAAGATGATTGTTCCTCAGAGCACTAACTGGAAGACATAAGATTAAACCTAATCTTCAAAATTGTAAAAACCACAAATTTCAAAATAGAATAGAATCATAGAATTGCTCAAGTTGGAAAAGACCTCCAAGATCATCAAGTCCAACCACAACCTCACCATACTACCCTAGCTGTTAGCCTTTCTTTCTGTGTTGTAATCATTTTTAACTATTTATCTCCATCTACAGGTTTTCCATTTTTTAGGCATGTCATGATCAAGAGAAATGGCTAGAAAGGCATTCTGTCACTGGAGATGAACTTTACCAACTTGGTATAATCAAAAAATTTCCAGTGCAGAGTTTAATTAAATGCTATGGATCATTCAGTTGAAGTTTGCTCTCACCTTATTTCATACATGGGACTCTAGTAGCTTAAAGTGCTTTTAACTGTTTTTATTTTCCTACTTTCAGGAAGAACACAATTTAAAGTGGTAATTAATGCACTTTCTCCAAAAGAGCTCACCAGAATTTACACTCCTCACCCTCTGGATAGAAATGATGGCACATTTCTTATGCGGTATCGGATGTATGGGAGTGTCAGAAAAGGGCTAAAGATTGAGATACTTTATGGTGATAAGCATGTAGCTCAATCTCCTTACATTTTAAAAGGTAAGGTTTTTTTTAATATATATGATGTAAAGTAGCTGCAGAAATGCTATGGGCTAATTTACTGCTAGAAGTGAAAGATTAGAGGTTTGGTTGCTCATATTCATATAGTGACATCACAAATGTTCCCCTCATACAGGGAATAAGCAGTGACAATCTCTATTCACTGCCAAGTTACAGGATGTGCACAAATGTAGATTTTGGCTTCTGATGTTAAGACTCTGTGTCTGGACACTTTATCTTCACTCTTGCAACCAGAAATGGATTTCTCCAGATTTTCTAAGAGGAAAAAGAGAGGAATGGTACTTTTACCTTTTTTCAATCAGCAATTCACTTAAACATTTTGTGATTTTTATCTGAAGTAAAAATTAATACCTGCAAAAGTGAGGATTTTGTGTTGTTCCCAATATTTCATAATGTATATGTCTCTCTGTGATTTCTAAATGCTGTGATCCTTCATAAAAACAAAGATAATATTCTCTAACTAAGCTAGTGTTTTTTTCTCATAGCACAATTTTATTCAGTGCAGGTCTGTACAGTTATGTAAGAGGTACTTAAAATCAGGGAAGATAAGGCAAATTCCTCTCATCCCAAATCTCCTTCTTTAACTTACCTGTCTCTAAAATGGACAGCTGTTCAGCAAAGAAAAGGACAATAAAGTTACTTTCTTGGGGAGTCTTGTTTCTTTTTAACACTTGTTCTTCTAACCAGAATTTGGCTATGTCTTAAATACAAACTTTGAAACACTTACTTTCAAGATGAAATCAAACTGTCCTGAGTCCTTAACGTAGCGGTTTGTCTTCTGTATGCTGATGCATGTTTACCAGCAGCCATGATACTATGACACAGAACAGAACGTGTTTTGAGTAGAAGTCCATGAAATAAGGGCTTTTATTTCGTGCTCTGTGAGGCTCCTGTGTAAGCAGTCCTACTTCAAAAAGATAGAAAGGATGGCTGATGGTGCAGCAATGAAAGTAGCTTGTGGTGAGATGAAGACTGCTGTATCAAAGTTCTGATTTAGACAGAAATTGAAACTAACACCTGTGCTTTAGTAGTTACAGACAAATAGATCAATTCTGAACATTCTGGCAGGCTGGCAGGCAGCACAAGAATGGAGCTTCATTTGGCAGAGGATTTTTGCCCTCAACAAGCAACAAAAAATCTACTCTTTTCATTTCTGAAATGGATGTTGTAGTTTTTTTGTTTCTTAAAAACTTCTAGGCTCTCTAATTTCTAGATTCCTGTGCCCATTTGTTTGGGGAATTATGATTGATTTAGAATCACAAATACAGACTTTCAGTGCTTGTTTTCTGCAGGACCTGTTTATCATGAATATTGTGACTGCCCTGAAGAAGACCCTGAGATCTGGCAGAATGTTTTCTCTTGCCCATCCCAAGAGCCTCAGATTACAAAGGACTTCATTTCCTTTCCCACCATTGACCTGCAGCGAATGTTTAAAGAAATCCCATCAAAGTTCAGTCAAACAAGAGGTGCTATTGTTCATTACACTATTCTCAATAATCGCATCTACCGTCGTTCCTTAGGGAAATACACAGACTTCAAAATGTTCTCTGATGAAATGTTACTGTCACTGGCAAGAAAGGTATCAGTTTTGATAATTTATGCAAAACTATAAATCATATTGCGATGTAACAGCAGTATGTATTGTTATAACTTCAGATTTGTCATTGGTGTTGTGAGATTTTAAATTTCTTTTATCAAGATGACAGTATCTCTGTAGGAATCATGCTAGAACTAATGTGTGGGATCAGAGTTTGATGTTAATTAAATTGATAGAAAATCTGTAGAAGCTACAACCCAGTCTTGTAGGCTTCCTGTCCTCTGAAAGTGTTCCGTTCATACTTACTTGCTGGACAAAAAATTTGAAATTAGAATCTGAAGACCATCTAAATCTTTAAAATCTTGGTTTATTATTGATTCTTCATCACATGAGAGCTGAGGGTTCTACTTAAGAGAGGCAAATAGCAGTGTAATTATACCTGTGTTGTTATACTTTCTTGGGCATACATTTAGGTTCATCTCCCCAATGTGGAGTTTTATCTTAATGTTGGAGATTGGCCAGTTGAGTACCGAAAAGCCAATGATACACCTGGGCCTATTCCCATCATCTCATGGTGTGGCTCTGTGGATTCGAGAGACATCATCCTTCCAACATATGACATAACCCATTCAACTCTTGAAACCCTGCGTGGTGTCACAAATGATCTCCTTTCTATTCAAGGAAATACAGGTAAGTTAGAGATTGAATTTTAAAAAGGGAGTTTTAATTCTATCAAAGAAGGAAGCTGCCTTTAAATGATGTTTGTTACAATTTTTAGTTCATAAGAGTCTTGGGATATCTCTTAATAGAAACAGTGTAGTTTTCACAGTCTGGGCATTTCCAACATTGCTACAAAGCAGGTGATTAATACAGATTTAGAGCCAAAATGTAAGAAGTCCAGTACATGGCAATGGTGAATTTTATCTTAACAGTATCCAGAAGATAGCTGTTGAAAGTGGCAAACTAGTACTATGCTGCAACCTCTTTCAACTAAAAAAAAATTGTATAAAAACAGCTCAGCATGAGAAATTCTGAATTGTTTTTCTAGCTTCAAAGGAAAAGTCAGCTGTACTGACAGGGGTCTTTTTCCCCAAGACATTCATGAATTCTTAGGGATGATGCAGTTGGCATGAACAATAGGTAAGGAGTAAAACTTAAGTGAGGAGCTGTTTCTTTTTATTTGGATAGTTCATGGTCTTTTCTTCATTACTTTGTTTTTAAATTCATCGATTTAGTTAGTTACATTATCAGTTTGAAGCAATCTGTGTTTACTGATTTAGTACGGCTGTTCTTCCAGTTACAGCAACATGATGTTCCTACTCTACTCTGGTGTGTCTTTAAGGAAAGTCCCAGCAGAATAATGAAGGATGTGTATTTAGTGTTTTTAAAAGAAAAAAGGAAGCAGGTAGGAAGTCTTCCAGGCTTTGCTAAATATTTCGAGGACACAGTATAGATATTTTTTTCCTTTGTAAATCATCAAGTGACTTCTCCAAGACCTAGTTAGATTGCTTGGTGACAAAAGTGGATTTCTCTAAAGAAAGTTTTGTTCTTTAGAGGCAGATAATTACTTCAATTATTACTTTACTTACCTAATTTGATTATAACTTCTTGTATAGAAGAAGAGCTCTTGGAATGAGTCCAGAGGAGGGCCACTAAGATGATCAGAAAGCTGGAGCACCTTTCCTATGAGGAAAGGTTGAGGGAACTGGGCTTGTTTAGCTTGGAGAAGAGAAGGCTCCAGGGAGACCTCA